TGGACCAAACTAAAATGGTTGGCGATGTCGCAGACTCTGGCGTAGACTAGAGCCGCCCATCCCAATGAACAACTTGAGCTATAATTATCGATGGTCGGGGAATCCCCTGGAAATTAGAAAGGCGGGACAATTGCTCCAACGTCAAAACTCCGATATTGTCTTTTTAATGGAGGCAAAGAAGCAAAATCACGAATGGGAAGCCACTATGAAAGAGTTAGAATGGGAGAAGGGACGTGGTGTTGGACAAATAGGCCGAGCTGGGGGATTATTTATGATGTGGAGACAGGATCTGGATGTAGTAGTGAAATCAAAATCAACAAACCATATTGATGTTTGCATAACATATATGAATTTACAATAGAGGTTTACGGGGATGTATGGGTGGCCTAAGAAGGATAACAAGCAACACACGTGTGTTCTATTAAAGCAGCTGAGAGATATGGTAGACATCCCATGGCTGGTGGGAGGAGACTTTAACCTAATCCATGATTACGAAGAGAAGAATGGGCTGAATCTGCCAGATGTGAACAAAATGGAAATGTTTAATGAAGCCTTAGAGTATTGCAACTTGGAGGACCTAGGATACTATGGAAATCCTTTCACGTGGGACAAAAACCACTCAGATGATACTTTCCTTGAAGAAAGATTGGACAGAATGGTAGCAAATGCTGAGTGGAAGGATCTATTTCCCCATTCTAGAGTCTATCACCTGAAGAGATGTGGGTCTGACCATTCTCCTATTTCACTAAAAACTAAACTGGTAAATGATGAAGTCAGGTGGGGTTGGAGTTTTAGCTTTGAACCATTTTGGCAACGTCACGAGCAATGCAAACAGGTGATATAGGAGAGCTTGAATGAGGGAGGAAATAGCTTTGTGGTGGAAAAGATTGGCCATTTTGGGGAGAAGTTGTTGGGGTGGAGTCGGACGAAGTTTGGAGATTTGAAGTTCAGGTGAATAAAAGCAGAGAAGGCTCTCGAGAAGTTGGAGAAAAGACGTATGGATGTAGCTGTTATTGTTCAAAGGAAGGCTTTCGAGAAAGAGCTTAATGAAATCATGCTTCAAGAAGAACTTATGTGGAAACAACGCTCTAGGGAAGATTGGCTAAAGGGTGGTGATAAGAAAACAAAAATTTTACATAGGAAAGCCTCAGATAGAAGAAACCGAAATACCATCCGGAAACTAAAAGCAGATGATAGGAGCATTAAGGAAGGAAAACAAGAAGCGATCGGTTGTTTATCTAACTATTTTAAGTTTATTTTTACTGTTGGGCAGCATGGTGTTTCGATACAGGTTCTAGATGCAACCCCTTGTAAAGTTACTCCAGAGATGAATGTAGCCTTACTGAAGCCGATTCTAGCTGAGGAGGTATGGGGTGCACTGGAAAAGATGGGTCCCTACAAGGCTCTTGGAACTGATGGAATGCCAGCATCATTTTTTCAGAAGAATTTGAATGTGCTTGGGGAGGATTTGGTGAAGGAATTGTGGGGGTGTATGGAAACTGGGGATTTCCCCTAACTTATCAACCACACAATGATAGTTTTAATTCCCAAGAAGAAAGAGGTCGAAACTCCAGCTGACTTTAGACCTATCAGCCTGCGCAAGGTCCTCTATAAGATTTTATCTAAAGTGCTTACTAATAGGCTAAAAGGTCTATTCAATGAGGTGATTTCTGAGTTTCAGAGTGCGTTTGTACCAGGGAGACTATAACAGATAATGTAGTGGTGTCTTTTGAGTGTTTCCACTCAATGAATGGCATAATTCAAGGGAATAAAGGTTTCATCTCGGCAAAACTGGACATAACGAAAGCCTACGATAAAGTCGAATGGAATTTCCTAGAAGCCATCATGAAGAAGTTGGGATTTGCATAGAGATGGGTTGCCCTGATCATGAAATGCGTCACTACAGTATCCTATTCCATTCTTGTAAATGACCATCAGACCGAGACTTTCTATCCTATGAGAGGCCTTAGATAAGGTGACCTATCTCTCCTTATCCTTTTCTTTTTATTGTTGAAGGCCTCACGGGGTTGATACAACAGGCGAAAAGAGATAAGAAGATAGAAGGGATAAAGGTGGAAGGTGGAACACCCCCAATCACACACCTTCTTTTTGCGGATGATAGTGTGTTATTCATTAGGATAACAAAAAGGACTGTGAGAGCTTGAGAGACATGTTAGCCACCCATGAGCAAGAGTTTGGACAGAAAGTTAATCTCCTGAAGTCTGAAATAGAGTTCAGTCCTAATGTGCAAGAAGAAACTAGAGAGGAGCTGGCTAATATTCTGGGTATGCAGGTTGTGCCCTACCTTCCTACGGTGACTGGACGACAAAAGAAGGTTGTTTTTAGCTACCTTGTGGATCGAGTAAGGAAGAAGGTGAAACTCTGGAAGAACAACCTGTTGTCATATGGAGGAAAGGAAGTTCTAATTAAAGTTGTTGCTCAAGCTCATACAACCTATGCTATGCAAGTGTTCTTGGTCCCACTAAATGTAATACATGAGATTCAGAGTTTGCTTTATAATTTTTGGCGAGGACAGAAAAACAGTGAGAAAAGGACACACTGGATTGGTTGGCAGGAGCTTTGCACTCGAAATTTCAAGGGAGGAATGGGATTTCACTATCTACATGAGTTTAATCTGGCTTTACTGGGAAAACAGGTTTGGAACCTGATTCAAAATCCTAACTCTTTGGTTTTCGGGGTTTTGAAAGTTAAGCACTATCATACAAGATCTGTGCTTGAGGATGAAATGGGGTATAACCTAAGTTGTGTGTAGTCTTATGGCAGCTCAGAGACTAGTTAAGGAAGGTTTGAGATGGAAGATTGGTGATGGATGTAAGGTGGATATTTGGCAGGACAAATGGCTCCGAAAGTATCCTTGTAGCGAGTGTTACGACATGAAATTATACCGAATTCTCAATATTAACTGCATGAGGCACCTTAGCCACCATGATAAATATCGTGGCATTAACTTTCCTCAACATACCAATTTTGGTCCAATGGCACTGTCCTCGCTCATCAGTTTAAACACTTTTTTTTTTTTATTCCTTCTCTTGTTACTTTTCCATTCAACACCTCCAATCTTGCCGGACCAAACTCCTTCTCCGAATAAATCTCGAAAAGCTTCCGGCCAATTTATCCTCCACTCGTGAATTCACTTTCTCGACCAGTGACCAACAAAATTCTACGTGCGATCTGACCTGTTTCCTTCCCATATGTTACCTAAAATTAGATTGAACAATTTTTCTATCATGTATGGAACACTTCCCTTTTACCCCCAAACACAAAGTCACGGATAGTGTGGATGGTAGGAATGGCAATGGGCAGGTCCGGGGCGGGTATCTCGATACCCATACCCGCCCCGTGGTAGGTCGGGTCCGGGTCGGGTAATTTATCACGGGCGCGGGTCGGGGCAGGTCGACCCATTGGGTATATAGTTTATGCGAAAAACATTAGAATTATTCATTATTTTAATTAAAAGACCAAGAAAGAAACCATAATTTGATAAAATGTAGTTAAATTATTGAAGAAATTGAGTTTTTCACTTATTTACAACTTTATTATACCTAAATATGATGTAATAAGAGGAAAATGCTAAGTAATTTGACTAAGATTACATGTAACTTAGACCAGAACGGGTCGAGAATGGGGCGGGTCAGGGAAGGTCGGGTCGATGAGAGGTACCCATTCCCGCCCCGCCCCGCCTACGAGGCAGGTCAGACCCGCCCCAAAACAGGTCAAACAGGTCGGGTAAATCGGGTTAGGTCCAAATTGTCATCCCTAGTGGATGAAAGCGGGATTAAGCACATTATTATTTGATTAGCTGTTGGATTAGCAATGCACTTTGATTACCACAATCAACCCCACCGTTACAAATCCGTAACTCGTAGGTCCCGACACTCAGCTCCACAGTGCAAAGAGGAAAACAATTAATTAGGGGAATCTTCGGTTAACTTGTCTTAATCCAACCTTAATTTTATATTATTACTATAAAACACCCCGTAAAGCTGCTGATTTCTGGATAAATAGATTTTATCAGATAAAGACGCAAATCGGATAAAAGTAGTAAATAGCGGGGAAAAGGGAAATCTGCACCGAAATCCGCGACTTGTCGTCGTGGTGACCGGCGAGTGGCGAATACGGTGGGCTCTGAGGTGGCCCAAAACCACTGGTTTGCGTACTTGGTCAAATCAGGTTCAACCGTATTAGATCAAAATCGGAAGATCATATCTAGTCAAAATAGATAAAGAAAACTTATTAAAATTGAGAAAAAAGTAATAAGATTGAAATTGTTAAAAAAGAAATATGTCGGATTCAAGTATGTATATTTAGATTTTGATGTTGTCTATTGTATTCAGGTACAAACGTGGATGATATAACATTAAAATATCGTATTTAAATATGACAATTTGTCAGTTTGTTTGTAAAGTAGTATTTTATTTAAATATGAACAAAGTTAGTTTATAATTAGATTGTATTAAGATATATTATATAAATGCACGCATTTGGTGTTGATGGTTTTCCAACTTCTCGTACATTTTTTTATTAAAACCGACATAAATCAGAATATAAAACTAAACTTATCCCAATCGGACCATACCAGTTGTCAATGTGAAATTTATTTATATATCAATAAAATTTGTATGTAGATTGTCTTGAAATGGATTATACAAATTGCACACATTTTATGTTAATGATTTTCACTTCTCCGCGTATGCTTTGTTTAAAACCGACATAAATCGGAATATAAACCGAACTCGCATCCTAATCAACCCAAATCACTCGCCAAAATTGTATAAACCGGTTTCACAACCTTGACCGCGTCGCCGCTTCCTGTACCTTCCTTGAATGAACCGCCACCCAACTCGACACTTTTGGTCATAAATTCCATTCTCAAACCGAGCAAGAAGAAAACAATCGGACAGAGCGAGCGAGGTGGAATAAATGTGAGGAAGGAGTAGCTGCAGAAATTCGTGAGTCGGATTTGCTGCTGCTTCACGGAAATGGCGACGGGCTCCGCCCAGGACCAGGCCGATACTGCTCTTCTTCATGGCAATGTTGCCGTTTCGGGCGGCGAGGGAGGCGGTGGCGGTACGAGGATTGCGGTCGAGGCGGGAGGTGGAGGAAGAGAGACGAAAGCAGACGAGCTCGTGAGGAACCCTAGCGATGGTGGTGGTGGTGGTCGCACTGCTGCTTCCGCCGCTGGCCCTCCCGTCGACGATTGCTGCCCGATCTGCTTCGGCGACTTCTCCGTCGCCTGTAAAGCGAACTGCGGCCATTGGTATTGCGGTCCGTTTCCCTCTTTGCTTTTCTTTAATTCTGCTGTCTTTTTCTCTTTCTGCGGTTCATTTCCGATACTAGATCGTGGAAGTGATGCGTGGAATTTCGGGGTTCTCTTGAATTTGAAGTGCTTCTTGTGTCCATTGGAACTTCTATCTTTCATTTCCATGGCTTCCTCGATCACTTGAGACGAAACTAAAGACTGAAAGGTCTAAAGAAAGTAGCATTACGCTTTCTTGGGTCTTTCGGAAGTGCTTGTTAAAAGCTGCTCTGAACGGAAAGTGGAGCTGAATGTTAAAAAAAGCTCTTCTTCTTTAAGTTGCTGGGAGCTTTGAGTTCTGTTGTTTTAACTCACTAATTGCCTTCTATTTGGTGAATGGGGATGTATTTAGTTGCAGAGTTTTCATAGTTAAGTGAGATTGTGGGAATGTCAGATCCATGGTGATATGCTGATTGTTCCTAATGCAGCTACTATCATGGGCATTAAGGTTTTATATGTTACATGGGGCTGTCTTTCTTTGCAGGAGGGTGCATTCTCCAATTCTGGAACTACTCAGCAGCAGCAAGACCATGCAAATGCCCAATGTGCTCGTCCAGCATCACTAAGTTGACGCCAGAGGCATCGTTACTCAATCAACCAGAGCAGGGAGTTAAAGAGGTTTTGCGGGATGTTGAGAGGTACAATCGCCTGTATGTTGGAGGAGCACGTGGCCTCGTTCAGGTAGAACTGGAGCCCCTATCAAGTTTTCAGTTGATTCTGTTCATCTCAGATTAACTGGAAGTTTATTCAAGTGTTCCTTGTTGTATATTTCTTGTTCTGGGAGAGAACTAACTGGCATTGTTATGAACAGAAAGTGCGGGAATCACCGTTATTCTTCAAGCGAATTGTTATGCGGATGATGGATCCTGATAGACCAGAGTACTTCCTTCAGGAAGCTCGCCTCTTAGCTGTAAGTTCCTTAAACATTAGACATTTTTCTTCTGAAATACGCATTATGGATCTCGATGATGGTAGAAATTTGGGAGACATTTGTGCTGACCAATGTAGTTGGTGGGGCTATTCTGTTCAGCTTCTCTGTTCATGTGTTATGATAATGCGAATGCTTGTACATGTCATTTTCACTCATTGCCACATAGGCTATATGAATATATCTGATTTGTTTGCAGCAGTTAACACATCTCCTTCCGAAAAGTGGTTACTTTCAAGGACTTCATGTTCTTAATGGTGCTGCTGCTTATTCTGATCACATCTATGTGACTGCAGTAGAGTGAAGGGTACCTTAAAGTAAAAGTTCGGATGATGAGTTGCTGAAATTGTCTTCCTTTGCCACACTTTTCAGATGATAATGAGCATTGTCTATGCGTTCTCTCCCTTCGACTTCATTCCAACAGGTCAGTGCCTTCTCTAATGAAGCCAACTATCTTCTTCCGCACTTCTCACTTCGACTCAAGATGCTGTACGATTCTTGACATGTTAAGACCGATATCTTTTCACTTGTATTGCAGGTGGGGCAGGAGTGGTGAGGCTGTTTGATCACGCAGCCATCATAATCGTTCTCGGCCTTCGACTGATTGGACTTTACCGCCGACGAAGGCTTCATCAACGTGTTAGGCATATGGCTGCCGCCCAACCTCTAGGTGAATAACAGACATTGTCGGAGTCGCTTAAGAGAGTGTACGCAGCAGTTTGTTCGTGTAAAGAGTTGAGAGTATAGAGGCAGTCATCTGTTTGTTTAAACCACTTGTAATCAGTTGGATCTTTGTGAGGGAGTGAGGGGTTGTTGCTCTTTGGCGTGCGGCTTTCTTTGTAAATACCACATATATGCACATGTATATACATATCCACTAGCAAGAAATTGGTGCAGGGATGTAGTGAGTAGTGATGGAAAGTTTACAAGTCTGCTTTTGCAACTATTAGATTTACTTATGCTTCCCGTAGTATTAACAGGGTTGTCCATTGCACGGTAAAAACGATCCATTGCACGGTAAAAACGATCCTTGCACCGATAGATCAACATTTGGTTGTCCATTGCACTGTAAAAACGATCCTTGCACCGATAGATCAACATTTGGTTGATTATCGCAATTTACTTTTAAACATTTGGTTGATAGATCAACATATGGCACCACAGGATACTGATTTAAAGCTTACACTACAAGCTAATTGAGTGCACTCTATTCGTAGGAAATTTAACAGAGCTGTTCATTTAGCAGCGTAAAATGATTTTTTACGTCAACAAATCAATTAACTATCGTCGCTACATGTGGTTACCTAATGTGCTGTAAACATTCTGCATTACGCTCTGGATTATCTATGGGGAAGATATGTAACCAGTTGGCCTTTCAACCTCACTCGTGTCACATTTCATAAGAGCATAGTTAATGGGTGACTTGTAAGAGTAAATCACCAACGAGTAGCTACATTGTCTTTCTTTAAAACTTTTTGTACAAAGAATGGCAACGTAAGCTCGTCATCTCTCATCTATAAAGAAACTAACTCGTCTCGACAAAATTTCGATTCCAACCGACGTACAATGTTAGAAGATTTCTCCTCTCAAGAATATCCATTCGGCTTTTCTCGAGCTTTTGAAGCTCTCTTCTGCTGCTCGGCATCGTAGTGCTGCATTGCTGCCTCCAGCGCCTGCACCAGACGAACAGAAACGTAGTTCAGTAAAGAGAGGCGACCTGATAATACTTGAAGGCAGTTTTGGAAAGAAGTAATCGTCAACCTGCTGCATCGGACGAATCAGAAGTGTAATTTGATGCCGGATGTCTGGCTGTACAGCTTCCTTCAACTTCTGAAATTTAGTGAAGAGTGGCAGATGCAATCAATACGTCGACCATTTTCACCAAAATTAAAGCTCTACCCTATTGAGAATTCAGAACTAGTACGGTGTATGTTGCAATGTACCTGTAGTTGAGAATCCATTTTCGACATTTCATCCTTTAGTTTGGTTACCTGCAAATAACATTCATTATATTGGCGGCAAGAGGAGGAGAAAACCTGTATGCAATAGATTGCATCGAATAAAATCCAGAAACAGAATTGAACCCTGATAACCGGTGAATGTATACCTTGGTATTGAGATACTTGTTCGTGATTGGATACGAAGACCAAAAATGCTTCATCAACTCTTCAATTGAAATATGATGCTGGAAACAAGATTTAAGATCAGATACCGATATTCTCCCAGAGAATGTAAGTGTCAGGCTCATGGAACTGGCAGCTGCTTGTTCAAAACTTCATAGCACTTACATGTAGAAGCTCGTCTCTAACTGAGGTTGGTAGGCTGTCCAACAGACTTTCTCCAGGTTTCTTACCGAGATTATACTTTGTGCTTGAGATGTTGTGGGTCAACACAGAGAGAACCTACACAATAATGTTTGTAACTAGATTCAGAGACTGACTGGAAGTCTGGAATCATTAATACCACATCCCCGATTTTTATGCAGACAATTAATTACCTTCTGGGCTACTTCTGATGCAACTACGGGGTGATTCAATCCCATGGATTTAATTTGAGAGATGGATTCCCTCAACAAACCATATGATTCGTGGCTGGTCATGGTTCCCTTTGTTGCTTCTATAGAAGTTTTCACTGAGCTGGCTTGACGTGAATCGAAATAATCTCTAGGGTCCTGGTTTGTCATGGTCAAGCCTTAACTCCAACTGAATGGAATAGTTATAAAAAAAAACAGCACATGAACGATAAAAGGTGTTATAGAAAAACGAACCTTAATCCAAAGCGGCGCGAGGTGGTGATCATCTGACCCTCGAAGATCGTCAATTGTCATCGCTTGAGATATTCCCTTTAATCTCTCCTGATCTGCTGATGAGTCGTCATCTTTGCTAGCAGTGCTACGCTCTAGCAAACGAACAGTTATCAGAACCCGCTAAATATAACGAGGAAGCAAAATTAAAAGAAAATCGAAGCAAAACTAATAATGACATCAACCTTGTTTTGATCGTTCAAGTGCCTCTGCTACGGTTTGTGTGTCTTTCAGCTGCTCTTCATCTGCATGATGTAATGGTTAGGAAAACTCAAAAGCCATATGTACATGAACACACAAAAGTAGGCTTAAGCTGTAAACAGAGAAATAAAGAAAATTCTTGAAGACTCCTTACCTATGGGAGTTCCCTGAAGAACAACAGCTGCATGCCTGTTGAGGTCCTGCAGCAAAGTCCTTTGGTAGAGTTCATTCCCTGATTCAGGTACTTCCTTGCTACCATCACGAAAAATTCCGTGATCCTGTGTTTTCCAAAATGAAACAGTATTAGAATAAAAATTAATGAAACAGCATTGATACAAATGATCAAACACACAAAGACAAGTACAAGAAATAAATGAATTTCCACCAAAAAAAAAAAAAAAGAAATCAATGCTAATGCAACAGCTGTGCGTCCTAAATAGTACTGGAAACTTCATCCTGTGCTATCTAAGTGATGCCTACACAGTCTGCGTATACTGCCCATAGCAAAACAATCAAGAACCAATTCCTCAAGCTTCATTCTGCCTATGATATTACCAAGCACGACATTTCACTCGAGTTCTCAATAGATGTGCAGAATTCAATCAATGGATCAAATTCATCCACTAACAGTTTGCACTCCCAAGCCGTGCTCCACATTCCCCACTCGAATATATTATTGAAAAGCCTTAGCAGATATTTTATACTCTTGCATTCCAACTTATGAGTACCATACCCCATTGTAGCAAACACCTTAGTCCTACTCCTCTGTCCTCACCACTAGTTTTATTTATTTTTCCATTAGTTAAAAAAAAAACCTAACTGTGACTTCTCTAATCCAACTTGCCATCAAAGCAAAATTTTCAAAATAAAGGACGGTAATATTCAACTTACAGGAAGATGTGAATAATCATCACCTTGGTCAGTTTCCATGTCTAGAGTTGGATCAACGCGTCTGATCTGGTATAAGAACAATTTTACGTTTGTGATATATCAAACTTAGATGTTGTTTCTCAAGAAGAATGTGGAGCAAGGAATGCATCCCTGAACCAACCTTCCTGCGAGTTTCATTGGCCAAAATATCATCAGGCTTCAAGAAAATGGCAAGCTCCTCATCTTCAGCAGCCTCCGCTATTGCAGCTGCAATATTCTTTGAGCGCTGGAGATACTCTGCTCTGCAATATTTGGTCCAGAAATCCTTATCTGCCATCTTCAGCCACACACAAAATAAAAATAGAAGTCAGAGAAAATAAAGGGAAGAATTCTGGAAAAGTGCAGAGTTATGAATCAATTTTTTTCTTACCCCACTGTTAACGCACTAATATAACTTAATAGAGCAGTTTCCAGAAGTTGTTAATACCTTACTGGGAACAAAATTCAAGTAAGCCCGGTGAACTGCAGGTTTTTCTGAAAAAATCTGAAGGGAAACTTTTCAATATAGAGAGCAGAGATGAATGCACGGAACAATTCACGCACAACAACACTATTACAGATCAAACGGCCATTGAAACTCAGATGTGAGTGACCTCACAAGCATTCTTAAGTCCTATGGGGAAACAGAAGACATGACATTCACAAAGCAAATGCAATACATGTGTCCTAGGAAAATAATGAGTAATACCATTGTATTTTAGTTTCTTGTATAGATGGAAAATCAACTTTAGATTCAAGAGAAGAAAGTCTGCAAAGAGGATGATGTGGGGATTATAAATGTACAAGTGAGCACTTAAATTCAACTAATTGTACTGTTCAATATCGTAACAGACACAGTGAAGCACGGAGAATCAGTATAGTCAACATACCTCACGAACTATCTCTGGGGTCAAGTTAAATGTAACTCTGTTGGTCTGGATTAAAGGAAGCAATAAAAACGTTTCAGCATGAAGTCCTCAACAGAACCACATTTGATCAAATACAACTCATCAACAAAGATAAAAATGAAGTGAGTCACAAGCGCACAGCACCAATAGATTAGCGAGCAAAGAGAGGAAATTATTGTACCCGACCGTCGATAAAAGGCTTTGACTCTGCCAGCACGGAACTTTTAAGACCACCTCGTTGTTTTGCCTTTCTGTTGGCGTCCTTCTCCAGCAATTTCTGCAATACAATGACAGTTTTTAAATTACAGTTACACCAACCTACATTGACTATGTTTGCTACCAACAATGCTCCGATATGAGAAAAGCTGAGAACTTCAAATGCTGAATGAAATTAGGCAGCCAAAGCATCGAAAATAGGCATACACAAGTTAATCATTCTAACCTTCCTTGTAGCCCAGAATTCTGCTTCTGTCAGCACACCACCACCCACAAACTGTTGATGAAGTTTCTGCAATTCACTATGTAGCACAAAGTCTGCGATGTTAGGTAGAGAATGCGCCAGCGGGAAAAGGAATGGCCCCTCTCAGGATTTAGTAAAAAAATATGCAATAACAATAACAGTGTAACCTAGTACTGGGGAGAACAAGATCAATGAAGAAATTATCTAGGTCCCTGTACAAACTGTTAATCTTTTTCCATAAATGCTTATGAAGACGAAATTTTCTAGTATATAGGTGGAGCAAACAAGCCTACCTAACATAGCATGCTTCTGATATTCATTTCAATGAACGGTTCTTTCAGAAATACGAGAATGTGAGATGTGAGTTTCATTTTCAGCAACTAATTACATTGACAAGTCACAAGCAAAGCAGAACTAAATTTCTGTGCATATAAAATTAATCTAAAACATGTTAGATCCAAGATGCTGCAATGCTGTAAAACAAACAAGACACCTCGTCACCACCAACTAGCTGAACTGGAAGTTCAAAATTACCCAAAATATTACAAATAAGAAAGAAACTGGCTTAACCTATTGTTTTGCAGCAGCCTTGCACGGAAGAGCAAATCATCTCTGCTGGGTTGTTCTGAATGAATTTGCGAATTAGCTCCAAGATTTGGAGTTTCTGCTGGCGGTGCAAGAGCTCTGCCTGCCGCAAGGCATAAAAACATTGAATAAGCGGTGAAATAAAGTAAGAGACTGAACCAGAGCCATGAATCTTTTACACATAGATAAAGATACTGACACAAAAAAAATCACCAAAAAGAAAAAATCACAAGTTGCAGGTCCTTGGGCCAGTGAAAGGGGCAAGGAGCATTGGATAACAGGTTCACATTCACAGAAAATTTCATCCAGAAGAGCAAAAGCACACGAAACTTCTACATATTCATCACGTGTGTGCTGAAATATTTCTATACCACACCTTTATGCCCAAACTTCATCAAGTTAGCACAACCTGCCAGTTACATGAAATGTTTCTAGTGATCTGATCACAGCAGCAGTTTATATGTCATGACTAAAGCTTTATCATGATGACATGATTACTAGAGTCTAAACAATTTAACAAGTCTCGTGGAAAGACTGACATATGCAGATAAACATGTATCCAAAGCCATGACTTTGATCTTAGTAACAAGGAATCCTTCACCGGCAACAAATGTCTCGAAGACCATGGGATTTTATCTAAGAATCAGATGTATAGTAGAGACAGGGAACTAAGGAATTACCCACGAAATCCCTGCAGATATGGAGATCTTCATAACTCTCAAACTCGAATATATAACTCGCACCCTGAAAAAAGCACCAAGTAGTTTAAAGCAAACACAGATATAAGGTCAAGCTACCAATGACATTGAGCAAAGAGAGAGCATACCTGATTTGAGGTGAGATTGAGCATCGGTGCTTTATTTGACCCCTCCTTGGTGTACCTGTGATCTACGCATTCCAAGCAACGCAGGGAAACAAAAAAGGAGAAAGCAACATGAGTAAAGTTGACTTCTGCTCCACAAGCAATAGAAATGAAGGAAGGCAGAGAACAAAAGATGTATACTTGTAATGTATTTGAACTGCATGTCAAGCTTTGATGCTGAGTTCGGATTATTTGGCCTGAACACCAACCTTTCTTTCACCTGTAGATTGCACAACGGAATGGAGACGAACAATCAATTTCTAAAAACTCTTTGGTAATCAATCTCATGAAGTTACATTGCCTTATAGATACTGCTGAATTCTGTGAACAAAACCAACAACCCCAAATGCAGCTCAAAATCCAAAGGCCCAAGCTTGAAGTAACTGAGCTAGGATTTCAACTATACCAGTGAAAGACGGCCAGGAGTTCCAGCGTCCTTGACCGAGGTCTTGTACTTCACCCGCTTCGTCACTTGCCCACTCGACATTTTCAAGCAAAACTTCAATTAAAAGAGAAACAAGGCTCTCGAAGCTCCGATTCCACGAATCGCACCTCTAGGAATGGAATTCCAGGGGGGGCAGTTAAAACCCTAAGCTATCGATTCAATCGACGAGGACCAGAATGGCCTTCTGTTTCTAGGAAGTTCGTCGACGAGTCGAATCAAAATAATTGCTACCGAACGACGGCGACTCGATATCGGCGCGCGGGAGAGAATGACAGAATCATGATCGGTGAAGGACAGCAGCGAGGCGGCAGCGAATCATGGCCAGCTGCAACGCCACAGTTATAAATTGAGACGACGGTGGCGGAAAATTGGAATATGTTGGAAAAAGAAGACGACGTGACCGGAGAGCTGCGGAATGGGCGATTAGTAGTTCTCAAATCTGAGATATGAAGCTAACACTACCCCAATTTATATGGCTAATCTCTTAACAGGTTAAGTTGTTAGTAGATACTCACACATGGTGAAGAAGGAGGCTACATGGAGGAGGTGAGATTCAAGAGTTGGGGCTCACTTAAGGAATGAATCATTTAAATGGATTTTGGTGGCTTCTCGATTGCGAACCAAACTAGTAGAGAGATCTCGTATTCGGTTTAGTAAAATAACTATCCAAAATGCACGAACTAGTAGTCAAGTCTGTTGCTTTTATGAAGTAGTACTCAAATATACATGAGTTCAGAGATTGCTATTCAGAGAGTACAGGCTAGTATCCAAACATCACAAATCTAGTATCCAAACTCACAAAACTACTAATCAATCAATTTATTACCGGGACGGGTTAGCATGCTAACCCTTTAAGGGGTTGGTTTTTTGACACCCCCTTTTAATTGGTCAATTTTTCATTAATGATTGACAAGTATTAATGAAAGTAAACATAATAAATGTTCTGTTATTAAATACAAAGTAAGCATTAAATACACCACATTAATTACCACTTTACTGGTATTTGTACCACTGCACTGATACTCAGATATGACATTGCTACCAGTGCACTGATATCGCTACCAGTGCAGTGGTATATCTACCAGTACAGTGGTACAACGTATCAGTGCAGTGGTATATCTACCAGTACAGTGGTACACCGTATCAGTGCAGTGGTATATTTTTTGGAGGTGGTCGGAGGGAGTCTGCCGATGGGATTTTCACCGGAGAAGTGTGGCGGTCAGAGGAAGTCTGGTGGTCAGATACTGCTGAAAAAGAAAAAATCAAATATAGTGAGAGAATTCCTAATGTGTATTTAATGTGTGTATTTAATTCTTAATGTGTATTTAATAGTGAGAGAATTCCTAATTAATATGGTACATTTAATTCCTAATGTGTATTTAATATACTAGGGGGTGTCATTTTTCCAACCCCTAAGGGGGTTAGCATGCTAACCGACCCCATTTATTACCAACTAATATTCACAATCAAACCAACTAGTATCCACCATGAAATCTAATGGTTTTATAACCGTCAAAAAATAAAAGCTTGATGTCTCCGGACGCTCTCTCTTCTTCCTCCTCACCTTCATCGGCACCGCCAGAGCTGTCGGGACGTCCGCCGGATATTCCTATATCCAGCACAAAAGTAGGTAGCACATTCGTCTCCACCGCCAGGACCCAACCTCTCAACTTTAAAGCGGCGCTGGCAGGCGGCATTCAAAACACATCAAGAAAAGCGACGCAATGGACATTCGTTGGGGAAGATGACATCGAAACAGGGCTCTTCCAAGGAGAGCCGGAGCTGAGATTATCAAGCAAATTCAAGGAAAAGCTCTGCCAGCCTTGGAAAAAGACTCTCATTGTCCGACTGCTGGGACGCTCAATCTCATATTCCTACCTCTGTTCTCAGCTGCGATGGAAATGGAAGCCGGTGGGATCCCTCGAAATCATAGACCTGAACAACGACACGTTCTTGGCAACCTTTGGGGAGGATCAAGACTACCTGAAAGCTCTCACAGGGGGGCCTTGGGTCATTCTCGATCACTATCTGTTAGTGCATCAATGGACACCTTCTTTTCGTACATCAGACAAACCACACAAATCAGTTGTTGCTTGGGTACAGTTTCCAGAGCTGCCGGTTCATTTTTATCACAGAGAGTTGATGTTCGCTATTGGTAACCTAGTCGGCAGAACCGTGAAACTCGATTACCACACTGAAAACCTGGAAAGAGGAAAATTTGCGCGCATGGCCATTGAGCTGGACATGACGAATCCCCTACCAACTCGAATCCGGTTAGATGGTGATTGGCAGCAGATCCTCTACGAAAATATACCTACAATATGCTACACATGTGGAAGAATAGGCCATACCGAGGGAGTTTGCCCTGAGCGACAATCAGCGCTCCTTCCTGCCCCTGCGATAGGAGTGGCGCAACTCGTAAGCTCACCGCCGGCGACAGCGATATCAGAAACACCGGCCGGATACGGGCCGTGGATGCAAGTCGTCCGCAAAGCTCGTCGTCAGAACAGGAAAATGGCTGCTAATCAGGCGACAATCTCGGGAACCGCGAAAGGGAAGAAACAGGAATCGCTCCGAGATGGTGGTATCACAAAAGGAAAGCAAAGTTTGGAGCAACTCAACGGTAACGGAGGCACTAAGGGAAAGTCGGATCAACAGGGGAATCAGGGGAGTCATTTGGGGAAAACAGTGGATGGTAAGAAGGCGATCGGCGAGGGTAAAACAACAGCTATAACAAAGGAATGGAGACCTATTGGGCCTCACACCAAGGAGGCCTCCACTAGCAAGGAGCCCAAAAAAGTGGAAATAAACACCACGCTGACATCTTCCCACCAGCCCACGTTACAATTAAGACAAGTTCTTAATGGCCCAAACAACACCAAGATACAAATCGTGGAAGTGCCTGATCTTAATCTCGAGCAGAAGGAAAATGTCAACCCCAACAAGCAGGGAGATTCCACCATTCGAAACCACTACCACAGGAAAAAACCAGAGCATGCCCCTCAATCCAAGGGTGTTAACCTCAAAGCTACTAAGAAGCCTCTCCAAATCCTTAGTCCCAAGATGAAGGAGAGCTTAGCTAAACAAATTCCATCCTCCCTTCCAATCTCGCTCAAATCCATAGAGGATTTCTGTGTGCCAGTTCAGCGACGGAAGAAGGGTACTAATGCCCAGAACGAGGGGAAGGCGGATGACATTCCGATGCAAGAATGCCTCCTCAGTAGGGCAAACGAGATTCAGACTCGGGAAGAGGAAGGGGAACCCCCTGGAAACGCTTCTATTGAGACTCCTTGCTCCAACTGAGCTCTCTTCTCCTTTCCCCCTTTTCTCTCTTCAAATTGTGTTTATGATGTATCAATCTAACTTAAAAATTTTATCCTGGAACGTTTGTGGTGCAGGTGGAAGGAAATTCATTAGAGCTATTCGATTGCTCAAAGACATTCATAAACCCGACTTCTTGATATTGCTGGAACCCCAGATTAGCGGTGATCGAGCTAACACAGTCTGCGGAAAATTGGGGTTCGATGAAGTTATCCGGGTTGATGCTATGGGCAGATCAGGGGGAATTTGGCTGGCTTGGAAATCAAACGATTTTATAGTCACTCCCATTGATGCCAGTCAGCAGCACCTCACCGTCAAGGTCTCGAAGACAAATCACCCTGATTGGCTTTTGACAGGAATTTACGGCAGCCCAAAGTACAAGTATCACTCCCTTCTTTGGCAACAACTCATCCAATCCAGCAAAACTTGGAATCTCCCTTGGGTGGTCACGGGAGACTTCAACGCTATCTACTCGCCAGATGAAAAACATGGGGCTAGCTCGGCTCAAGATCTTAGAAGATGTCAGAGATTTGCGAACTGGCTGAACGAAGCTCTTCTTCTTGATCTCGGGTTTTCAGGTCCTCGTTTCACATGGTACCGGGGGGACTCGGTGGCGACTCGCAAAGCCAGCCGCATTGACAGGACCTTGTGCAATGACGAATGGAACCACATCTTCCCATACACTGTAGTCCAGCACCTTTCAAAGCTTCACTCGGATCACCTCCCCATCCTAACAAGCTATACTGGGCTTCAGGCGAATGCTAATAATTCAAGGGCCTTTCGTTTCGAAGCTGCCTGGCTTCTTCATCCTCAGTTCAGGGACTTCATTGACGAAAGTTGGGTTAAGGAAGCTACGCTGACCAGCTCCCTCAAGGACATGACAGGCAAGCTTCAACAGTGGCAAAGGGATGTTTTTGGGTCAACCTTTCGTCAGAAGAAGCGTTTGATTGCTAGGCTTCAGGGAATCACAGAAAGGCTTGCCAATTCTTTCAATCCTGGGCTGCTTAAACTTCAGGTTAAATTAGAGAAAGAGCTGGACCTGATTTTAGCCCAAGAGGAAGTCTTTTGGTTCCAAAGAGCAAATGAAAAGTGGGTGAAGCTCGGGGAGCAGAATACCTCCTTCTTCCATCAGCAAGCTACTCGAAGAAGAAGAAGGAATAAGATTCTTGCTCTTCGAAATGACAATGGGGATTGGATCGATAATCAAGAAACCCTTCGTGATATGGTGGTCGATTTCTACAGATTGTTATACACTCAAGAAGAAGGCGATTATGAAGATTTAATGCCGCAGGGCAAGTTTCCTCGCATTCAGCAAGAGGAACTGATGAATCTCCTTCGCCCCTTCCACATTTCAGATTTCCATAAGGCCATTTTTGAGATGAAGCCGATGTCTGCTCCAGGTCCAGATGGTTTTCAAGCGGTCTTCTACCAAAAATTTTGGCCACTTGTAGGCAAAAATCTCACTGAAATGGCTATCCACTTTCTCGAAACAGGTAACATTCCTGATGAGCTGGCAGATTCTACTGTTGTGCTCATTCCCAAGGTGGATCATCCTGAAACCCCAGCTCAGTTCAGACCTATCAGTCTTAATAACGTAGCCCTGAAGGCTATCACTAAGGCTATAGCCAACAGACTGAAGCCGGTTATGCCAAAGTTGGTGTCTCCTACTCAGAGCGGTTTCATTAGAGGGAGGCAGACTAATGATAACATTCTCTTGCTGCAAGAGACCCTCCACTTGCTTAGAAGTAGGAAAGGGAAAAAGGGAGGAATGGTGATCAAGATAGATCTTGAAAAAGCTTATGATCGCCTCAGTTGGAACTTTCTTCGGGACACTCTTAGAGAAATTGGACTCCCCAGCTCTTGGATCAGCAGAATCATGACCTGCGTGGAGAAAAACCAAATGAAAATCAACTGGAATGGAGAACTCACCTCTTCCATCAAACCATCTCGAGGAGTTCGCCAGGGAGATCCCTTGTCCTCTTTCTTATTCGTGCTATGTATGGAAAGATTAGCTCATCGTATTGATCAGGAAGTGGAAGCAAAGCTTTGGAAGCCAATTCCTCTTACTAAGGATGGACCAAAACTTTCCCACCTCTTTTTTGCTGATGATTTGATCTTGTTTGCAGAGGCGGAGAGCGGACAGGTTGATATCATCCGCGCATGCTTAGAAGACTTTTGCTCAAGCTCCGGACAGAGAGTCAACCTTCACAAATCGACAATGTTTGTTTCTCCTAACGTTCAAAGAGACAAAGCCCAGAGGTTGAGTGTAAGAGCGGGAATCAACCTCACTAACGACCTGGGTCGATACTTGGGGATCTCAGCCATTAACGGCAGAATTACCAAGGAAAGATACCAGCAGCTTATCCTTCGAATCCAGCGCAAGCTAGCTGCTTGGAAAGCCAACCATCTTTCAGTAGCTGCTCGCATTACTTTGGTTAAGTCGGTAAGCTCTTCCATGGCAATTTACCCAATGTTTACAGAGAAACTACCTGCTTCTATTTGTAAAACTCTGGACAGGATCAATCGCCAATTTATCTGGGGAGAGGAGGAGGGTAAACCAAAATTCCACCCTATTGCGTGGGAACATCTCACTCTACCGAAGGATCAAGGAGGAGTAGGAATCAGACCAACAAGACTGGCTAACCAAGCAATGCTTGCTAAAGGAGCCTGGAAGATAGTTACCGACGTCGAGACTTTATGGGCGAAAGTAATGCGAGGCAAATACGGAGGGAACAGGCAGGGACTCCAACTTCTCAATAAAAGAAAGGGAAGTTCTTGCGCCTGGAACAGTTTTTCACAAACTGTTAATCTTCTGCGCAAAGGGGCAGCACTTAATGTTAAAAATGGAAGGCTAACCAAGTTTTGGACTGATGTCTGGATTTTGCAGGTTCCACTGTTAGAAGTTACCACGCAGGAGGTCCCGATGGAGGAAAGAAACAGAGTTGTAGCAGATTATTGGGAGGCAGATTATGGCTGGAGGTTCGAAGATTTGGAAGATTACCTTCCTCTGGACGTCATTGATAGAATCCGAGCCACCCTGGTGGATCCCTTATCAAACAACAGCGACTCCTTGTTCTGGAAGCTCACCGCCAATGGTCTTTTCAGTGCAAGATCAGCCTTCGAAGCAAACAGCCCAGAACCCAACCAGCCCATCTCAAGCACTTGGCGGCGGATTTGGAAATTGCATTGTCAGGAAAGGGTAAGGTTCTTTGTCTGGTTGGCAGCCAAGGAGAAGCTTTCAACCAACAGCCAGCGCAAGCTTCGTCATCTAACCAACGAAGATAAGTGCCCCATTTGCGACAATGCCATAGAAACAAACATACATTGCCTTCGAGATTGCCCAGCAGCTAGGAAGATCTGGGAGGGTTTGGTTCCTGCTCAGAAGCAGCAATTTTTCTTCGCCAGCAGCCATGGTGAATGGTTTCACAAAAACTTAAAGGGGGTGGATAATGAAGGAGATCAGGATCATTGGCCTAGCCTGTTTTCTCTTGTGTGTTGGTATATTTGGAAGTACAGGAATGACTTTATTTTTCAGGGAAAAAGGCTGGCTGAATCATCGTTCATCAATTACGTCCGAACAAAAGCAAGGGATTGGCTTCAGGCTTGGGAAAGAGCAGACCTACAGATGCAAGTTAACAGCAAACCTGAGAGGGTCGATCAATTGGTTGGGTGGACAGCTCCATCAAATGGCTGGATTAAGGTGAATACAGATGGTGCTGCGCAGGACATCACAGGACTAGCTACAGCAGGGGGTTTACTAAGAGACAGCAATGGGGACTGGCTAGGAGGTTTTGCTTGCAAAATCGGCACTGGTTCTGCGATTCTCGCGGAATTATGGGGTATTCATCAAGGATTGACCATGGCTCGGAATCAGGAAGTCCAATTCCTCATCTTAGAGACAGATTCGAAGATTGCTATAGATTTGATAAGGGCGAGGGACGACCCAGTTCATCCGCACTCAACGATTCTGGCAGCCATTAGACGACTTCTAGCTCAAGATTGGGTGGTGCAACTGGTTCATACGTACAGAGAAGGGAATAGAGCCGCGGACTGGCTCTCGAAGCACAGTCTCGTCTACCCCTTCGGTACGCATGAACTAGTAGAACCGCCAAGCGAGTTAGGAAGGATTCTTGTTGAGGATATCTTGGGAGTGAGCTTTCCCAGGAGGGTTATTCAGAATACGGATTGAGATAGGGTCTTTCAGATGGTTACTTCCTTCTTGTTTGGTCTTGTCTTCCTCCTTGTTAACTCTTGTTGATTGCCCTTTGTAATCCTTGGCTTTCCGCCTCCCTCATTTCAAAAAAAAAAAAAATCCACCATGAAATCAACTATTATTCCACATTCACGAACTAATATCCATAAAACACATAGTAGCATCCAACTCACAGAAATAGTAATCAACTAATCAATTACCAACTAATATCCACAATCAAACCAACCAGCATCCAAGGTTTGCTAACTAATATCCACCATGAAACCAACTATTATTCCACATTCACGAACTAATATCCAGACAATATAGAATAGTATCCACACATCACATAATTAGTATTCAGCCAATTAATTACCAACTAATGTACACATCCAAAACAACTAATATTCAAGGTTTGCTAAATGATATCCAACATGAAAACAATGAGTATTCCACACACAAACCGATATCCATATAACACATAAGAGTATCCATATTGCATAGAACTAATATTCAGACAAAAAAAATTTACGAACTGAATGACATTAAATAACAACAATCTAAAAAAACCCAAGAAAGTCAAGACAAAAAAAAATCCAAAAAGGCAAGATACCCAAAAAAACTCAGAAAAAGCAATATACCAAAAAAAAAATCCAGAAACCCAAAAAAGAAAATAGAACAATTGCGGGAGAGAAAAAGCCTACCACAAGGAACAAAACCCGCAATATCATATCTTCATTAGAGGCACTCCAAACTCCAATGGTCCAAAGATTAGCAAGACCAAATCAAATCTAAATTCCTAGAGAGAAAAGAGAGTATAATTTTCAAAATAAAGAAGAGAGAGAAGATTTCTCAAAGCAAACGGATACTAGTATTTGCATTTTGTGTATTAGTTTTTCTCGATTGACTTGGCTCTCAACTAAAAAGCCGCCAAAATCTACTTAAATGAGCCATTGCCTAAACTATTGAGCCCCTACCCTTGGATCTCAACTCCCTCATGCCTTCATTCTCAACCTGTGAGTATATATTCACAAAAAGAAGAGTTAGCATATTAACTTTTTCGACACTAACCGGTAAGGCTTATTTTCATTTTAACCCTCTATTTCATATTATCGAGTTGAGTGTCGAACGTCATTTCCCCGAGATGAATCAAACAAAACGCTCATTTGTAGTCTTAGTTTCGATCAAAATTTATACAAAAAAAAATGCCTATTATATGAAGTTTCTACCTTTCTAGCAAATTCTTCAAGCTCACTGCCATATTTCTAAATGTTATCTCTCTACATACATAGATTCTTATTTGATTTCTAACTTGATCGTTCGAGTGTAGATCATCGATGTTATCCTCGCTTCGTTACAGAAATTATTAGTGAGATTAATCGAGTGAAACACATGAGGTAATGATTAGTGAGGTCGTGTTCTTGAGCTGTTTGTGTTCATAGTCGTTTACCATGGAGAGTAACAATGGTGGCGATGATTCAACGATTCACTCAACTGTTGAATGCAAATCAAATAGCGAATCGATGCTAAGTTGGCTGAAATAGAGAGAAATGCCGTTGAACGTTGGGGTTGTGGATAACCTCTCACAACCACAACGGCCAACAGCAGCTTGATTATGATATTCAGTGCAACTGTGTAAAATAACAAAGACTGTGCTTTCTTTGGCAAGCTCAATTGAAAACAGTAAGTAAGCAGAGTTCTCAGGATGATGAACAAACAATGAACAAAAGGAAAGCAGCAGAAGAAGAAGAAGTTGCAAAACTACATTGACATATGGTACAGAAACTTATGTAGCAATCAAATGTACTGGTGATCCCACTTTGTCAGAGAGGTTTCTTTCAGTCCAAGTCTAGGATTCCAAAATTGGAGAGAAGGATCTTGACTTGATCGACAAAGTCCGACCCTGTTGCATACTCCGTCAGCATCCCAACAGCGAAACCGAACATCGCCCATCTGCTCGTGACACCACAGAAAGAAAACGCCGAGTCATGCAATGCAGAATGATCCGAAATGCCCCCATTATCATGATATGCTGCTGGTAGGTTACAGCTTGACAGAGTAGTACATGAATGCAGGTTTCAGTGAAGAAGATGGAGGGTTCTTGCAAGAACAATGGCACTTTGATGATTGATAAACTGATTTCATTCCAATAGAAGATTTTTCCTTTTGATAAGGAAATGATAAATGCCCCATTATCATGATATGCTAGCAGGTTACAGCTCTGACAGAGTAGAACATGAATGCAGGTTTCAGTGCAGATGGAAGGTTCTAGCAAGAACAATGGCACTTGGATGATTGAGCAACTGATTTCATTCCAATGTCAGATTAAACTCAATTGTGGCTGCCTACCTGCAACTAAAGTTGGCATTGCCATTCGCCAGGCAGCCGGATTATGTCTTGTGACATACAAAGATGAGCCATTTTAGTGCCAAGACAAATGGGTTTCAGCTTCAATTTCTTACTTGTGAGTTGTAAGAGATGAGATGAAGCACTTGCATCCATGAGAATGGCTGAACTCGGTTCCTCCAGAGGCCGAATTCAGCTCGAATTATATGTTCTACTATCTATCTATAATCCCAGTTCCAATTCAACTCAACATTACTAGTAATCCCCAAGCAAACACAAGCCTAAGCCATTGCTCATTTGCTACCAAAGAAATCCAAGCACCAAATTGAAGCTAATCTTAAATGAAACAAACCCAAGAAAGAAAAGGATTTATAGTTATGGTTACCTTCCATTAGAAATCTCATTCTTGCCAATGAACCCAAAGAAAGGACCCTGATTCGCTTCCTCGAGCTTCTTCTGCTTGAAATACTCCTGAAGCTCCTTAGCCTTCTGCCTCTGGAACTCCAAAGTCACCGCGCCCTTACCCTCCGCAACGCCCAATCGGGGTGCAGAAGCCACCACCGGCGTCGGCGGCGGTGGAGAAGACGGAGGTGAAGGAGGGACGGGGGGCTTCAACGGAGTGGAAGCAGCTGACGGCGGCGACGGCTCCCTGAGCGACGGCGCGATGGGCCTGCGAATCGGGCCTTCGGCTTGTGAGCTTCGAACGGAGACACCCTGGTAGTAACACGACCTGGTGCCAGCGGCGGCGGCGGTGGCGGAGATTCTGAATCGGACGGAAGTTGAAGAAGAACAAGTGGCGGCGGACGTAGAGGGAGACGCGGCGGAGCAAGGCGATGGGAATGGAGACGAAACTGACATGGTTGCCCCGATACGATGCCGAGCAAAAGTCTCCTTCTTTGTTTGTTCTTAAAGGTGGGAATTTGAGGGCAAAATTGTGGGATTGGGGAGTTATCAGGAAGCACAAATGATGTGTGTGGATAATGTGGCGCCAAGTTTCTTGGATTTCATATATCCACATTTTGTCTAATATCAACAGGGGGTTCTTTTTCTTTCTTTTTTCAGGTCAAATAACCCAAAAGCGTTTGACGTCTGCATTATTTCACAGTTTGAGAACTTGATGTAAAGAAGCTGGTTTTGAATCTCGAGGTCTCAAATTCGTAAATTTGTATCTAAGTACGATATGAATCCGTAAACATTGGATGAATAAGAAACCAAAACACATACAATTGACACCACCAGGAATCCGGAACCGAATCGGAGTATCGTCACAAGGACAACAAACTAAGAATAAGTAAGAAGACCAGCAAAATTTAACCACATTCTTTTCTTCTTCTTTCCCCTTCTCTAACCCAGCAAAAAAAAAATTGAATACAAAAGGGAAAAAATGGTTGAAAAATGATCAAATTCCCCCAAAGAGGCTCGAATCGAAAAACAGGAACCGAGTTCTTTTCTTCCGCGCCAAGCATTCATTCCCCATCTAAACGACTCTCACTGCCCTTTCCTTCTTCACGAACAGCAGCAGAGATACACCTCAGTTAGCAGAAAATGTACAGACAAGGTGCCTCCCCTGTCATAAGTTCAGCAAAAAAAGCTTCACACTTCTGCTTTGCCTTTTGTCATCTCCAAAGCAAGCTGTGATCATTTTAGGCCCCAGTTGAATCTCTATCACATAATATTGCATGAACAACGTCTTTCCCGGCCATTGTCGAATTCGTCATCAGATAAGCCCAGTTCACTGCCAGCCAGACATTCATCAATCATCAGGAAAGCATTTCAGTACAGAAGGATTCATTGCAAACAAACTCAATCAAAAGGGATTGTCAATGTAGATGACCCGCAAACAAACTCAACAATTCAAGGAGCACTATAAGGGAAACACAATGATTCAAGAAGGTTCTTGCTCTGAGCCCTAAAAATGGTTATGCTTCAGAAACATGGACTTCTATGTCTATCCAACTCTCGCATACAACGTCTTTATCACTAACTAATGACGTTTCAAGGTCTTGTGATATTGGAATCAGCTACCCATCAGTTAGTAACACCTAAAAGAGTAGATACGGTGCTTCATGACAAATTTCATTACACGAGCTTATTCTAGTCTCCAATCCCGAACACACCACAATTGGACCTAGATGAAGGGTTCGATGTTCCATTACGCATCTTTACATCACATCCCTTAAAACAAGAGTCAGTTTATACCAGTTTGGTTAACACCTCAATGTGCTACGAGTCATAACTATGCCAATCCAGATGCAACTCCATAATGCAACTTTCATCTTTCATGGGATTACTATCAGTCTAAGAGGTCATAAATGATAAAACTCCAAGTGAGGAAGTGAACTCTCAGCTTAAAGTTACACATATTTGTTGATCAGAATCTAGAGCAGTCAGAAAATCAGTACCCAAAAGGAAAGAAGCAACTTAGTTCTCAACCAAACAAATGATGGACTACCATCTAACAGGATATAAACAATGATTCATCAGGAGATAATAAAGTCGCGTACCTCGGCTCAAATTCCCTAATTTCAGCAAGCTCACTACCACAAGCATCTGTCCACTGCACTTTTCTTCTACCATTGTGGCCAGGGCTTTCGCTAACCTGCTCGTTCAACACAGCATGTTCACCCGCATCCTCTACAGGAACAGAAACGTGATTTAACGACGACTTCTTCAAGCTGCTCTTTAGTGAAGCTGCTTTAGATGCATTCTTATCATCTTCAATCTCAGCTATTGTTATATCTTCTTTAAGATCATCTACTGGCAACGCATCCTGGTGCTGGGCAGGACCTACTTTCGGATGCGAAGAAGGGGAGGAGGAATCGACTCCTGCGGAAGCGTGACCAAAGCAGACCAAGGAAGCGGCGCAGCCGCGGGAAACTCGATTCTTGAGGGAAGCCAGCTGGAGATCAGGGTCTGGTTTTCCTTGGTCTACCAACTGGTACTGATTCCACGGCGCTACTCTCATGGGTTTGCTCTCTTCTTGCTTCTGATGACCCAAGAGAAGTAGGGTCAGTCCCTTACTATACCCTGAAGCTGAAGATGAGAAGAATCCTCCTCCTTCCACTGCAAATAACATTTGTCCTAATCATCTGGGGCGCCCAAATTTACATTCTTTTGTACCCACCTCTTTCACCCTCGTGCCTGCAAACATCATTATCTCAGTGTCAGCCAGTTTACCACAGCTCTGTGACAAGAGAATCTACCATATTTAACGTAACAGAGAAAGAAATTTTCCTACTTCCATGAATTGTATAACCTATCAACCAACCAACCCCAGAAGAAGAATTTTATGTTGTAACCCACTGAAGAAAAACGACAGGATGAGCTAACATGAAAAGACAAAGCGGCCAAAGAATTTTCTTCTATAATTCTTACAGTAGCTGTCAGCATTAGCTTTTGATGAGTTGACACTTCCCTTCTTTCCCAATTATAGACACAAAGTTACCTTTTTCCGCCCTTTCAAAGATCATGTGAAGAAGACGTGATCTCTTTCACGAGTTAAACCCAAGAGAAATAGACCCGACAAAAGGATGAGAGGAAGGAAAGTGATCGATCATGCAATGCTGGAAACTACCAAACATCACCATTGAATACTCTTACCAAACAGGTTTCACGAATCCATTTTCCCCCCACTCCCTCCACGGAAAAAGCCATTAACAAACATCACAGCAAAAAGAAAGAAAAGGAAAAAAGACTCCATCAAGCTGATCCACACGCGAACCCAGAAAGCAAGGATAGAAAAACGGGGGAAATCAGATAGAAACAAACAGCAAAGAGTTACAATTTGCTCAAAAAAAAAAAAAAAGAAATTCACCAGTCATCCGCCACTAACAAGCCGGATCTACTCGGCGAGATCTACACTAAACGGATTGGGGGGAAACGAAAAGGTATCATCAATGGCGCCGCTTCTTCTGCACTCGCCGTACTCTAACCATTCAAGAAAACAGCAAAACAAACAAAGAAGCAAATCCAATCAAACAAGCGAAGCCATGGCTTCAACTTCGAATTGAGATGATCGACAATTGGAGACCTTTCCCCACCGAAACAACTACCAATCAAAGCAAATAGAACATCGAGAAACTGCTGCTCAGCGTCTGAGATTCTACTTTTTTGTATTTCACAAAAAAAAAAAAATCTCTGGCTGGTAGTGATTTCGCGGAAGCCAAACAACAAACGGCATACCTGAAAGCGACGCAACGCAGCAGATCTGTGAGAGAGTGATTGTCGGGGACTAAAACGACGGCGCCGGCGTACGACGGATCGAATAAAATCGGCGAGGAATTAGAGGCGACTCAAAGAGAGAGAGAGAAGAGCAAAGAAGGAAGGAAGCTGCTGAACTGCACAAAAAATAAAAATAAAAATAACGGAAGCCAGAAATGGGGTGAACGAGGGAAAATAATATAACAGACAAATGGAAAAGGATATATAATTAATGAATTAATTAATTAATATTTGAAGATGGACCGCACCGGACCGGCCTGAATATATTCATTTTCATGAAAAGGAAGAAAAAGGAATAATTGGTGGGGGGATTTTTTATTATTCTTTCCTTTTTTGTTTCCATGGTGAGTCAAATATTTAGTGAATTTTAATGCCTACTTGAAAAGGTTACATTGACCAGCCTCCCAATTTAGGAATAATTTAGGCTTGTTAATTGTTATATTACTGCTTTTTTACTCTATAATAATCTGAAACACTTGACAATTGCTGGATATAATTTTTTTTAAAATAATACTTGATAATTTTTGTAGAGTACAAAAACATATTCAATGTAAAAAAATATAAAAAATCATATCCAATAAAATTACATGATAATATTATATCTTACTCTTACCTCATTATTTTGAGGGGTCGTTTGGTTTTGGTGATAGTTTTGTACTTTGGTTGGGATAGTTACAATGAATGTATTGTCCACAGTACATTGTTTTTTTGAATTTTCTGCGCAAACAATATATGCATTGTTTGCTTGATTTGACACAAACTATCATTCAAAATGAGTAATAGTTAAATCTCAAGTTTTCGTTGAGACTGTTTGATGGAGATTTGACACAAACTATCACACCAATTTTCTTATATACATATATATTATTATGCATTCACTCATGACCATACATTGATTTAACTATCACCAAAACCAAACGACTCGAGTTCCTCTAATATTTCACTTCCATTAATTAATTATTTTACAGGATTTTATTTGGGGATATTTCTTTTTTTATAAACTTTGAAATTAACACCTTCTTTGAACATAAGGGAAGCTATTTTAATATGAGGAAAGGTCTCACCTTTTTCATGGGAAGTGCGAGGGGGTAAACTGTAAAGGGAAAGTTTGCTTTTGTTTGGTAAGCTTAGCTTTTGAAGTGCTTTCTTTGCTTTGTATGAAGATGGTAAGTAATAATGTGTATAATTACTAATCATTGCTATCCTTAATTGTTTAGTTTAGTTGGTGGTGAATTAGGGACTTAGGGATTGGATCTGAACTTAGGTTAATGAAATCGCACAAACTTAGACTCAACCTAACTTTATAACGATAAACTCAAATTGTCGTAAGAAGGGAGAGAACCGAAGTTGCTCGGTCGATAGGTGCACACTTAGACACATTGTTCATCTTACTTGAAAGGAAGCCACAAAGTACTGTCATGACAAGTTCAAAGTCAAACGCCCTCCTTAACCCTCCTTAAATGCGAGGATTTTTCGGGTACAAGCCACGATATACAATGCAATTTTGTTTCTCCCTAACATATAGACATTTCAATAGAATAACAAAGGAACTGGACTTCAACATGATAGATTGAGGAAATTTCTACTTTAACCATAATAATGTCTCGCTATAGCATATGACTAGACAAAGCTACAATAGTAAAAGGGAAGAGTTACAGCAAACAACAGACCACCTTACACTAACAAAAGAAACATTGAAGAAGAAGAAGAAGAAAACAGCAGAGAAAGAGATTGTCACCAAATTAACAAACAAAGAGCTCTCTTTACATGGTGATCGATCACTCCCACCCCCTCAAACCAATTCAGAATGACCATTTCAAAATGAAAATCAGAATTACAGAAAGGATGACAGAAACCAGATATAACTTTCAACCAAACAACCCCAACTAATGAAAAAGCCTTTCAGCACCGAGCAGAAACGCCCCCAATGGTCGAACTTTTAGCATTCTTCAATCTTCTTCTTCTTCTTCGTCTTCATCAGCATGCACACTTCAACTAGTAGCACCAGTAGCAGCAGCATCTGATTATTGCTTCATCTGATGCTAACCTGTTTGGTTCCACAAGCCTTAAAGAGACCACATGAACCAGCAGGTAGACTAAACAGGGTTTTGCAAATGCAATGCCTTCGTTGTCTATTCGACCAGGCACATGGCACAAAACCCCTTTACCGTCCTTCCTAGATGTCCATAGAGGAATCATTAGAATGCGTATCCCGGTTTTGTTGCTGAAGAAAGGTGCTGTCGTTGTTGCGGGGTCCGTTCCCAGGAGGAGGTGCTGGTGCACCAGCTGGGTAATAGCCGCCACCCTGGGCAATGTGGTAGTTCTGGAGATTTCTTCTGACTGGGCTGGACAAAGCATTGGAGAAGACTGAGTTCTTCGATTGCTGATCGCAGTGCTCGTTGCGGCTGACTTGGCTAACACTTGTTGGTCCAGAAGAACCTGATGAAATTGAGGAACTCAGAAAGCCGGAACTCAATGACTGCATTGGTGGTTGAATATTCTGTGGTTGTGCTCTTGGAGACATTGATGGCTCTTCTCCACAGTAATCCAGCTCATTCTACAGCATGATACAAATTTTATTAGATTAATTGCCGAGGATAACACTAATGAATGTATGATACTATTAGCCACATATATCAAACATACATGAACCAAATCACAGGGTGTGTGTGAGGTTGGGTATTTCATCAATATAATACTAACAGTATTATTAGCCATAAAAGTTGAGACCAACCTGAATGTAATTGAGGACATCAGAAGTTGCCACCCTCGAGCCAGCCTCTTGCTGCCGCCATATCCACTGGTAGAGCTTTTCCTGTATATATGATACAGATAAGCACATAAGGCAGGATAATCATGTATCTAATGTACAAAAACAACCTAATCAAGAAGCTATAGAACACAAAATAAAAGACAACAAAGACCCTGCTAAAAATAAAAGTAAAGCCAGACCAAATTTGGCCTGAAGAGAGCAAGAGAGGCAAACTACAAGCTAAGAACTAAAATCCTACTGGAAGGCAACCTTGAAAACTCCTACGAGGCACTACCCAAGTCAGCAGCAAACACTTAACCTTAATTGATCATATAAAAACTTGTCCACTAAGAAAAAATCACAACTTTCCTCTTCACTATATGACCCTCTCAAACAAAACTTCACTAAGGGTAAACAGAAGCAGCATTTACTTCCCTAATGGCTCGATTATGTATTCAGTCCCTCCCTAATGGCTCGATTATCATTAATTTCTGATCTTCCTTACACTACCTGCGGGTCCAACTAGTAAAACCATCTTCTATTGCAAGTGAAATAGAGGAGTCACAACAGAAATTATCTTCAATTGCCAGCTTCCTTCGACGCCTCCACTGAATGGCTATAAACACTCAAAAGTAAACCTAAGCCACATATGGCCAACAAAAGCATCTTATCTCCACCAGAAACTTCAACATGTGAATAAGATGAAACCAGTAAACTGAACAAATCACGACAACCATCACACATAAGCAAGAATCCAAACAAAAGCCATGCCCATAGATTTCCAACTCCAAAAGTCTATCCACACAGACAGCAATCAACAACAAAATGCAACAATTGCCACCAAACAGGACAAAAATTTCCATCGCCGACACGGATAAAATCAGGGTTAGGAAAAAGAGGGGGAGATCTTACAAGGCCGTGACGCTCCCCAGCTTGGAAAGTGAGCTTCTGGTGATTCATGGCCTGGGTGTAGAGCTGAGTCAGGGAGCTGGCGGCGCTGCAGAACGTCGTGTACATGGTCCGATCCACCTCATCCAGGCTCGTCGCCACGGATTTCCTCTTCTTCCCCATCGCTCGTGAACCCAAAACGAAGAAGACTGTAAAAAAAATCCCTCAGACGAACCCCACCGAACAGGGATTCAGAGAGAACCAAAGAACACACCTTTCAATCTCCCAACACAAATCCCACAACGCAGAATTCCACCAATTCGCAAGACAACCCAAAAAAATCAATCGATAATCCCACCAATTCGACTTTTTTTTTTGTGTTTATTGAACCGTCTAGGGTTCTTCCCTTCCTCCCAACCTACGTTTAAGGTCGAAACGAAATCTCACTGGAAGAGCGAATGGGGGCTGCCCCGTTTTTTCTCCTCTATGCGTTTCCTCTTTTTTGTTCCTTTGGAAAATAAAATTTTGGTTTCTATATATACGCCACTTGAGAAAAATGAAAGGAAAGCAGAGGCTGAAACGGAGAGAAAGGACAAGATGGGTCTATGGTTAAGTGCCGTGAGGGTCACCGCACTTGACCACTGCCTGGCAAGATAGGTAAAGGACAAGAAGGCCCAAAGCCCATTTGTGTTGAACAAAACGCCCCGGTTTAACATAAACGACGTCGTCTCTTAGAAAAGAATGTAAATTACAGCAATAGTCACTGGAGTTTTATGCGAGTTATTAACAGTCCCGGACTTTCCAGTTCAATGCGGATGAACAAGATGAAAAAAACCCCACAGCAGTATCAGAAAACATCATCAGTAAATAATAGAACGAACATTGCCCTAAGGAAAGACAGGCCTTTAAATCTAAGGTTCAAACTTCAAGCTCGGGTTGCAAGAAACCTAAACGATACAGCACAAGTCACTAACCCCATACACCCAAAGGCCAAAAACGATGCTTCCAACGGTTCGCGGTTGGCACAGTTCGTGGATACCCTTAAATCATATCTCCCCAAGGTAAATCTGCTTGTCGCTGCTGCACGACCCAAGTATCGGTTCAGTCGGATGAAAGACACACTCGTTGACCGAGCCAGTATGGCCAGGAAGCTTGTACAGTATCCTTCGAGTGGTAGTATCCCATATGTAGACCATCCGATCAGAACTACCAGCAGTAACCTTGCTTCCATCAGGAGACCACCCACATTTCAGCAGACTCTTCTCAAAGTTGTGCTGGTGCCCTTCCAAAATCTTCACACACCGATTCTGCGGCGCATAAGGCCTCATGTCCCAAATACACAGCTTATTATCCATGCCATTGGTCAAGAGATAAGATCCGTCGGGGCTCAGCTGCATCCCCGTGATCATATCCTGGTGCCCCTCGAGCTTCATCGTCACTTCACCCTTCCTGATGTCCCACACCTTCACCTCGTTGTCGATTCCAGCTGTGAATATCTTGTCCGAAGCATCGGAGAACCCCACTGCCGTGATCTGGTACTTGTCTGGGAACGTCCCGATGGCACCGCGCTGGCGTAGGTCCCAGAGCTTGGCTGTCCCGTCATCAGAACCACTGACGAGGAGTGGCGGGCCACGCCTGGAAGGACAGCACGAGTTTACGAATGACGAGTGCTCGGCCATTTTCTTGATCTGTTTCCCTGTCTCGATGTCCCATGCCCTGACAGTTTTGTCGGGGCTGGCTGATATAATCATTGATCCGTCGGTGGTCCAGTGGAGATCGAGGACTGCATTTTTGTGGCCCTTTAGGACCATGAAGTTTTTGCAGTCACCGTGGACATTCCACAGGAATATCTCCTTGTCGTGTGAACCAGATGCAATGAGGTCTCCGGTGGGGTTGAATTTAAGAGTGTAGATGGCACTTTGATGACCAGTAAGCAGCATTATGGGTGACTCCAAGCTTGAAGTTCGGTTTTTACCGTTGGAAGCAGGTCCTCCAGGACCAGCGTATGGAACAGTCGACCATTCCATGGGCCTGGGACCAGAAACCGAGAGAGGGTTTTCACTAGGAATGACTTGCATCTTTGTGCCTGCCATTTTCAAATGAAGTTGCATCAAGAGAACGAACCAGCTGGTGAAAAAGGAATAGGAAAGCTCGCTTACAGAACTTTGAAAGCAATTACACACAGAGTCGACCAACAGTGAAGCTATCTTGAAGCGCTTGAACTATCAACTTAGACTTCAGAAACATGTGGTAGAAATATCTTTCTTAGTTCTTTATTTGATCAAATAGAAGAAGTTAGCCCTAGGAGTTATATCAAAAGCTAAAATTGCATCATGAAAATGGACATCTTGAGGGAAATGTCACCATTTTAAAAAATGCATACAAAGCCTACCCAAACATCAACGACAAATGCTGACATAAAACTGAGCACTCTCAACATAATTCAACGAGGTCGATACGAAACAGAAGCTAAGTAGAGCTGTCACTGAAGACGGGTTCTATCATCAAAATACCACGCCACAGAAACCTGAGCTAGAAAACCCAACTAGCAAAACAAGCAGGTTTGTTCACTTCTTCTGAGCTAATGAGCTAATCAATCCCCTCTCAGTTTTCAGCCGACACACAAATAAGTTCTTCTAACTCAAAACTGTAACGTAAATCTATTTCAATTTAAGCAGAAGAAGCCACAGCAGGAAAAGCAAATCCTAAAACCCCAAACCCTAGCTCTCAAAAATGTTGGAGCACTTCATGAACCTAAGCTAAATTTTCAGACATCCATCGGCCCAGAAGGCATCCGGATCGCTGAAAATCAAAACGGAGAGGCAGCCAATCTGCATTCACGTCCACTAATTGGGTTCTGATTCAGCAGAAGAAAGAAAATCTCAGCAAACGAAGATAGAGATTCAGTCGAGTTACCTGCTTAGTCCCTGCGTACGACAAATGGACAGTCGAACTTGAAGTAATCCCGTGACGGTAAAGGGGGAAAGGAGAGTGTCGGCGTAGACTTCCGCCCCCGGGTTCTGGGAATCCGACGGAGTAACAGCGGTGGCTGGAATTTGATTGCGAAGAAGGACTGCAAAGCCGGCGACGCCTTGTGCTTGCCGTTGATCAAAGGTTAAGGCCGAAGGTGGAATGGAAGTCTGGAGCGATAGCGAATACAAAGATGAAACGCATCGTATCGACGGCTTATGGGCTAATTTCCATTTTAGTCATTGAAAATTTATGTGGTTGCTAAATTGAACCCCATAGTTAGCGGAGCTGCGCTCTATGTCATATACTCAAGGTTGTCAAACCGGTTTATGACGGTGTGCCGGTTTTGTAAGTGGAATGGTTTGACCGTGGTACAACCAGTATTCATGCCGGTTGTGCCAGTTTTAATAAAATACATGAGGAAAATGGAAATCCTCAATTCCAAATAAATTAGTCATCAAAAAGCAATTAGAAGAATGATTTCACACAAAATAATTTATAACTAAGAATTGGTAACTAATACTAAACAATTAGATGCTTAAAAATTAAATTTATTAAATTGCTTGTAGTCTACTGGTGTATAAGTTAAACTAAAATGAACAAGAGGTCCTTGGTTCAAATCCTATAGAAGATGTTTATTTTTAGATATAGTGTGTCTAACATTAAATTCCGGTTTCTGGTCTAACCGGCCGGAATTTCCGGATTTGACCGGATCTGACCGGCATTGACCACAGTTAAATACTGGCCCCTTTCCAGCCGGTTTGCTGACCGATATCGGTTGAACCCGCCGGCATGAAACCGGTTTCACAACCATGATATACTACACTATAGTTCCCAATACACGAACTCTAATATATCAACATAACATCAATTTCATCCTTTGAATACACAAAGAGAAACTCCAATATATATCAACATAACTCAATTTCTCAGTTCCTTCTCTGTTCTACAACCCATCATTGTCGTCAAATCCTCGAAAAAGCACGCATAAGATACAACACATATGGACTTGTTAACAGAGCAGCAGCTGGAAACAGAAACCAAACAACAGCATGAAGAAGTATTACACCCCATTCTTTGATCATGATTGATTGACCCCTATTCAGCAGCGCTACTCCCTTCAGCCGTCAGCTCCGTGACTATATACTGAGAACGAAAAATCTGTGTGTAGCTTTGATCTGTGGCCTGTAAGTGATGATGATCATGTCAGATAGAGATGGTACAACCTAGTTCCTTTGCTGCCGTGTCGAGAAACTCGATAGGCATCCCTCTCGCAAGTTGGCTGTGAGCTTCCCATGCCAAACACTTGTCGATGTCTGCTTGCCAGTCGATGACGTCGACATTGAAGTACTGGTACGAGGAACGAGTGCCGTTGGCGCCATTCTTCTCGGCATGCTTGTGGAACGTTTTTATCGACGTGTTGTGCAGGATGTCCCGGAGTACCGACATGCTCAGAGCTCGGACGTGAGCACTGGGGTGAGATAGACATCGGACTGTTGCTGGTAGACGACACTGCATTCAATGAAGAAATGTGTCATATTCACAATGCCTTCGTGGACAAGAAATTTTGTAGCTGGACAGTAGCTTGCATGACAAGATTTTTTCGGGGTTTATTTACCTTGAGGAGATTCGAGAGACCATCCGCAACAGCACATCCCGTTTCTCCCCAAGTCACCACTGGCCGAACTGCTCTCGCTGTTGCTTCCAGTAGCTGTAAAGGTTGAAATTTGCAACAGTTTTAGGTCACTGATATAAGGAATACATGAAATGAACACTACCAAATCAATCACCAAGTCCATTTTTTTCATCCGAATTGTTCAGGCTAATGTGCTAATCCTCAAACTACTACCAGAAAAAAGTCTCGATGAACCCTAGCTATAGAAAACCTATTGTAACTCACAATTCGATCCAAACTAGACCCATTAGTCAACCCGATTCCAACTCACATTTACTTGAAACTACCATACTCCTCCCATTTGTTATTCGAGTAGGTGTCTATATTGTGACGTTTTTGCTACACAGATCTTAACGTTGGTGGATAGAGTAATTCTTCTGTTAGTTACTTCAGACCTCTGTGACACATCTATTAAAGATAAAATTGACTGATTCTCAGCGACCTCTGATGTAATTGACCCTGAACAACAGTAGGCCTAATAAGCTGACCAGATTACTGAAACAAACATCTGGTTCACTTGGAAATGTGATGAGCCAGAGAGAGACTGTTTATGGTTGGTTTGTCACCTCTAATTGAGGCAAAGTGCAAGCTTCCCCATCAACAAGCATCCCATCTGTGGCTCTTAGAAGCAGATCTGACGCACTCGCTAATATCACCAATGATTCAGGAGTGTCATGATTTCGCATGAGCTCACCAATTAGCTTGACTATCCGCTGGTTGACTCGCCATATCTTTTGACTGTTCTCGTCATCTTTGGCAATCCAAGGTTGCAATTCCCTATCCGCCTGACAGTAATACACGGTCATGAAAGTGATCTAAATTTCTCACATAAAAACTAGTCTCAATAGCAGATGACTACAAAATTGCCTGTAGTTCTTCACTTCATGGGAAATGTAAAAGCGAAAACAAAATTTAGACCTGAAGAACAACTGCAGTAGCTGCTTTCGCTGGCGAAGCTGACACCACATTGCACATAGCATCAACGACCTGCATATTTAAACTCGTTTAATACCCTTACTATACCACATACTAAACACATTTTTTTCTTCTTCTAATGTCCAGTTTATATGTCGTAAGTTACACATACCTGTCTCCATCCTTGCTGGGCAGAAGTGCTTTCGGCACTAGGCTGGGTTTCGGGTGCTGCTATCAACTTGTGCCACAGCAAAGAGACAACTGAGAAGCACAGTTCTTGTTTCTCAGCAAGAACCGATCTCAGCAGAACTTGCGCACTGCAACTGAATCCAAGGTGCCTATCCTTTGTCAGGAAATTCGCCAAATCCGAAGCATCCAACGAGAACCCTTCAACCCCCTTCCCTGATTTCACCTTCGCCTCTAGATATGATGATTCCCCAGGTTGCTGAACAGATGATTGACCTGTTTCAAACACACCACCAATGCTTCCGTTTCGATTCTTCTTCTTACCTTCATAAGCCAGAAGGGACTTGTTCCAGACAGGTGCTGGAAAACTCGCTTCCAAGGGTTCTGCCTTGTTTACTATGGAAGCCACCGCTTTACTATGGATGTCGATGAGGCTGTACAGCGATGAAGCCCTGCTGTAAATCTCTTCATCCCATTTGCAGCGAATGAAGACAGCGAGAGCATGCATACAAGCTTTCGACCTCCGAAATAGCTCCGATACATGAGCTGCGACCATAGCTGCCGCAACAATCTCGTTTGAGCTGTAACCCCATGATGTCCCAATGGACGACGGCTTCAATGAGAACAGAGCTTCCAGAATTGCCAGCAATCGCCGAGTATGATTGATCGCAGAATCGATGCTGCTCCTCATATCACCAATCGCTGAAGATGATCCATTACTCATCTTTGCAGGTAATTTGGCTTCTCCGCACTGTGAATTGCTGCTGTTGTTCATCCCACCATGAGGAGAAATGAAAGGGAACAGCTGGAGCTCGCAAGCTAGGGCACAAACAGCGGCGAGAACATACGAATCAAAGGCAGCAACAGGCCCTTGCTTCTTTGTCTTCCTAGACCTCAAATCGCCGCCTCTCTGTCTCTTGTTGCCGCCATTTGAAGTCTGAGCTTCATGGCTGACACAGACAGTCAACACTACAAAGAGCAAGCGGGAAGCCAGCTCTGGTGCAGCACAGGATTCGAGGAAGAGCGAGTGCACCATAGTGCGGAGTTCTGCTACAGCGAGGTTTTTGGAAGCAGACTGATGATAATAACTCATTGTTTTACTCGCTTGTTCAGTGACAGAGGAAGAAGATTCCGATGGGAATGTCCGGCAGAGGATAGCTTCAACGGTGGCGACAAATATCTTCATTAGACATGCTTCCGAGGGGCTTCCACGGGGGAGGTACTCAAGGACTTTCAGTAGAGGAATGTAGAGGTTCCATGAAAGTGTTGGAGGTTGAAGTGGAGCTGCAACGATGATTTCGGGGAGATCAACAACCGATGAACCAAGAGGAATTAGGCCGTAGGCAGCTTCCCATATGGTGCAGATTCTCCACTCTACTTCAGGACCATGTGCACATAGCATGGATGCAATTCCCTGGGCAGTAGCTTCGATGGTTGCTTCAGCGGCTGGTACTTCTATCTGGTCATTGATAATCTTTTTCAGGTCATGTTCATGTTCTTGGCTCTACTACAATTAAAATAAACAACAGGCTGAAGCTGATATTTACCTGTCTTCTGTAGCTTGAGATGTATTCACCCAAAGGTTCATGCTGAACTTTGACTCCGTCAACTTGTCTCAGAGGGGGGAAGAGCAATGCAGGCTGCGATAATATACGGAAGAGTAGAGCAGCAGCAGCATCGGCAGCAATTCCGGGTCCCATCGACATTGCAGTCCCTATTGCACGCAAGAAATGCAAATGCATCCAGTTCCTGGGAAGCTGCATTTAAAGATTTGCGAAGAAAAGGAAATATGAGATCGAAAGGTCATTAGCACATTGATAATGAAAGCTAAAGTCAGCAGCACAGTGCATCTTGACATTGAGTAATCCAAAATTTCATCGGGGAAATAAATAGTTTCCTAATGATAAAGCCAACTCACTCGGATGCCATTTGCATAATCTTCTGCCGCTCGGAGGAGTTCCACGAGCTGTACTGCAGCATCGAGTGCATCTGGAGCCCATGATGGAGGTGCTTCTAAGAGTCCAAGAAGCAGTCTTTGTGTTGCACTAGGTGTCGCAATGGCATAATATCTAGACAATAGTAATGCAATAATGAGAAAGTGCAGGAGCATGTAAGATTCCCAAAATTAAATTAACAATGTGATCAGTAGATTCACCTATGAAACAAACGTGCGTACGGCTCCAGAGCTGGCAGCCCGGCAACTAAATGCTCATCCAAAGCTGTAGTTGGAGGAGGGAGTAAGAGAGCAGGGACAGCAACTGCAGTTAACGTTGCAGTCTCATATCGAGCAACTTCCTCATCACACACACTTAGTATGACACCAGCACCATTTGCGACAGCCCATCTTGGAGTTGATGGCATCAGCTGAGGATGCTTCCCAGATCCATGAGAAGAAGCTGAAGGGGTGAAAAGATGAATAATTACTAAATGTTGTATGATAGAGTAAATACTATGATGCTCCTAGATCCAGAGTGGTCTTTCGAAGCCAAATGCATTAGATAAAGTATGAAGGGAACTAAACAAACCAGTTATTGGTGGCTTGAGCTCTCCAGCTGCATATTTACCCATAACACCACTGCACCTGAAGGATAATAGACACAAGGAGTTTCAGTTAATGAAAAAGCAATAGCTTTATGGCCACCACAATTAACCATTTTCAAGCATTGAAGCTAATGACGAATTAATCACTTAATCTAAGTTGTAACTTGAATATCATTCCATTTTTCTGATAAATTGGCAAATAAATTAAGCACTAATTAAGCTATGAAACAAATTGCTTCCTCCCAAACTATCAATCTGGCCGATCCACCTAATCTGCTTAGGATCAATATCCATACATCGCTCCAGGAAAGTTGATATGCATGACAGCACAAAACAGGAGTCCTAAATGATAGGAAGTGCTCAGAAAATCATTTTGACTCACCAGCGGAAGTAGTCACTTCTGATACCAAGAGGTGCAGCAAGTAATATATCAGTAATCCATGGAGACAAAGGCCTTAAAGGTCTCCTTTCCTGCTGTACCGGCGGTGAACTGCAGGATTTCCCGTCTGTTGACTGACTTGTAGTTGCATGACTACCACTACTGCTTCTATCTGATTCAGTATTCTGTTTCTTGTATATTGGGCGGTTATAATGAGTTAAAATCCGTAAGATCTCCCCACATGCAAGAGCCCACTGCTCAGAGTATTCATTCTGTACAAGAAAAGATTAAACTTAAAAATCAACCATATATGTATATACTGTTTTCATGGCAAATTGAGCAACAAGAAAGTTTTATCAATCAAGAAAAGATGATACTTATCAAGCATTTGGTATTTTAATTATTTTAGGAGGCATCTTGCAAACTTTTCCAAGTTATGTACCTCACTCCTCGGGCAGACTAGAGATATGAAAGAAGCAAATGGAGGATTGCTTTTATCGTAAACCAGAGTACCATCGATCAAACATGAGATAATTGGAAGCACCACTGCATGGCCATGCTCTGGATGATGTAGGACAAATGTAGCTGGAGTTCGATAAAATTAAAAAAAAAAAGTGACAATTAGCATGAAGTTGTCTGATCTTTCCTCGACAATAGAACAGTCTAGAGAAGTACATGAGTAAAGAATATCTACCCAGAACTTCATCAAAAAGGCGTTTCTCTGCTGATGGATAACGACTGCGGATCAACTGTCAAAACAAGTCGTTTGGTAAAAGACAATATGATAAGAGAACAAAAAGAAGTATAAGGCATACGACTTTCAGCAGAGAGGCATACCTCAGCTATGTCATCAGGAAATTGCTCAGATGTGAATTGTCCAAAATACTTGACATAAGCAGTAACTTGTGCCTGAGCAAGGGCCACACCAGAAACAAGAATGCATGTCAGTTCCATATAGAATTGAATTGATTGAAATGAAATGAAAAGAAAAAACACAACTGAAAGAAGAAAGAGGGTTCTTTTGAAAACAGAACAGCCACATGTACATCACAAAATCATAGTTCAGCAATAGATATAGCATTGGCTTACGGCTTAGTGAACTCATAAATTGACGAATCAATTCACTGTCAATTGGAAAAAGATGGATTCAAGAACGGACAGGTTAAGGTCAAAACCATACATAAACATAATCATTAGGAAGGCCAAATGATGCCTCTTGTTGTCTTTTTTTCTTAACTCAATTGTATGGCAGCAAGTGTTAGCAAAAACTATTTGTGTATAATCAAGTTAAAAAAGCTTTTCCAGAGGCTTCTTCCCTTGCTAACCTAAGTGATGCAACTCCAAATGTCCTTATAAAGGAAAGCAAGATAGTTTTGAAGACAAGGGTTTCAGAGGATTATAGACAACTAAGTAAACAAATCCCCCCAAAACAAGCCACTTGATGCCACATATTTACGGCCACCACAAATCTCCAGCAGTCTCTTAATCAGTCCCCTTACAAGACCAAGATGATGTGTCCTGTGATGAATTCCTTTTTTTAGAGTACCCCAGGAGTTTAAAACTTGAGACATAAACCTTACAAAGCAAGGTCACTACAACTGCCATCTGTTTCTTAGACCCATCACTCTCCGAATGAAGACATCAGACCCTTCAAAGTATCTTTGGAGGTTCATCAAATGTAAAATCAAGCTAAACTCTGAGGTGTTTCTGCAACATCAACTGCTTTCCTAAAATGCAGGCCAGTTGGCATTGGAGCATCTCCTCATTCCTAACCATCATCCCTCTAGTTATGAAAGCAGCAAGCCCTCTTTACTTTCCATGTGTGGAGATTTCTGCACCCAGAAGCATTAGCATAATAATTCACTGTACAAGACATATAGGGACAGACATGCAACCTAAGGTAACATCTTCCACAACTTCAACAAACTTAATCAGCACCAGCAATTGCATACTCTCCCCCCTCGTTCCCATCTCTGCAGATTGGCTTTCTATCACTATTATCCGAAATGTCAGAGATAAGAAGTTCATTGAGAGCGCCTTAAATGAAGCAGTCTACTTCTGTCACTAGCTTTGCACAACCCAGGAGCTTCAGTACTTGCTTCTTTTCTTACAAACCATCCAATTCCAGCAAACAAAATCATCCCGTGCAGCTATCTGAGCATCCATTAAAGAAACAAAATCCAAGCCATTAACAGAGAATGATTCCGGGGACGATGGCTATCGTCGATAGCAAACACCATGCTTCATACTGCAGTAGCAAAACGAGATGCCCACCAAATGGCATATCAAGCAACCCATCATCAACCCACAATAGCAACCCAGACAAATGGCCCCTCCATGACATGCACATATATCATCCCCCAACAACAGACGAGATGGATCAACCAAAGGACACACTAACTTCCCGATCCCCTCTGATAGAAATTCATGTCTGCAATCCTGCACTTTATTCTTATTCCTCGCTGAAGCATCTCCCTGTGAGACAATATGATGAGCCGGGCTAGGGAGTACTGGATCATGTCTAGGAATCACCGTTAGACATCATTTTCACCATCATAAAGACTGGTTTCCCAACCACTAAGCTAATAGGCAGACATGCAATCACCAGTCCTTCCTAGAAGAAAACATCTCCTTCTAAGACATAACTCATGTGCACTACCCGATTCCACCTAGAAACCTTTTCCAGTTATGAAGAAGTCCAAAGACTCGGCACTTCTTAATTTTCTTTTAAGGGGTTGGATTTAAATGAAGATCTTGTCTTTACAATCATTACCATGCTGTTAAAATTATTCCAAAACAGGCCACTAAATTTCATGTATAAGGAAAAAGCTAGACCAGGAAAGAAGCATGTAATTAACAACTAAAAGATAAGCACACGCAATACTATAACAAGAGAAGGTTATTTATCCAACCTTTCTCTGGTGGATATCTTGTGGGGGAGGCCAGAACAATGAAGAGAGCTGAAGACTATCAATCCATCGCTCAGAAGAAGTCGCAGCAGCAGCCATTGGTGATGAACAAGTGGTTGAAATTGGTAATTGAAGTCTCGATATTACAGCGAAAATAAGGAAAACCCTTTGTTGCTTTCACAAAACGGTGAGGGACTCCAGAAACACCAAAAAGGGAAAGGAGAAAAAACCAAGCTCCACCTCCCTCTTTCAGCTTCCTTCCCCCTCAAACCCGCACTCTCTTACCACCAATCAAGAATCCAAATATTGTAACTCAACATTCGTCCTGAATATTACAAACAGACCCCAGAATAGCAACACTCAATAACCAATGATGAAATACAAATCTAAGCTTCCCATCATCTTCCTTTCTTCTGCTGCAGAAACTTGTGCAGAATTATGTTGCCTCTACTGCTCCGCCGCTACCCATCACCAACTTCTCTGCAGCAAAAGCCAACACAATGAATCTTACCCTTGAAGAGTGGTGGGGAGAAAAGAAAAACAAAAGGATAATTTTTTTCACCACAAATCAGCAACCACCAACAAATTGATTCCAAAAACAAGAGACCCAGAACAGCAGAAGGCCAGATAAGAAGTAAAGCTCGAATCTTTACAAATTGAAGCCCTCAGAAACCGAGTAAAAATGAAATCAACTGGTGATTTCTAGAGAAAAGAAGAGGGGAAGTTCAAGTACAGAAGAGTACCTGTGGTAAGGAAGGAATTGGGGATCTGAGATAATTTTACAGGTGTGGAGTTTTCCGCCTGTGAACTAAGAAATCTGCGAGGAGAAATGGAAGTTTCGGAATCTTTTGGGTTCTTCTGAGTTTTACCAACTCCGTCAATATTTTTGATTGCTTTGTAGGAGAAGAAGAGAGAGGAGATCTTTAGGAGGGCTCTCAGAGCTCCAAATTCCAATGCTTAAGTTTAAAGATTTGGGCTCTGACCACGTGGCGACGATATTTTCCTCTCGCCTTACAGGCCCACGTCACCCACCTATTCTCTCTCTTGGCTCCTTATTATTCCCCAAATTATTATATGTATTTTATTTTATATATGTATGTATGCGCATGGATATATGTTTATCTACATGCATACATGGTCCATAGGCAATATGCTATGTAACATTTTGAGATTATTTTGATTAATGAAGGGGGTCAATTATATCGATGGTCATTTAATTTTGTGGTCACTGGCAAAGTGATCATCAAACTTTCAATTCGGATGTCTCGTTTAAACCCAAGTTCGGATGTCTCGATCGTCTGAATTTTCGACCTCAAGGTGTTAAATTAGGAGAATCTATCGAATCAAGTTAGACGGTTAAGTGTTTTTAGGATGTAACTAAAATGGAGAATGAGTTTGATATTTGTTACTGTTTGTTTTTTTAGTGTGTTGAAGTTACCATTAGTTCGAGTCCAACACCAAATTACAACAATGTCATTCAGTTGTCGTTGTGCTGTTCTCTAAACCTACTTCCTACAATTATCGAATGAGAGAGGATGGATACATGGGCATTGGGGTTTTAAGGAGTTAAGCTTTTAGTAGAAAAGTTTGGTTCTTGGATAAATTTGAAGAGAAGAAGAATAAGGGGAATTGGACATAGAGATGGATCAGCTAGAGAGAGTAGGGTTTAAGTAAATTTTGTAATAATATCAAAACACATCCACAAAAATACTTTAGAGAAATTGTTGGAATATGTAAAATTAAGAGGACTAAAAATGTAAATAGTTTTTGTATGAGGATTGAGGAGGAAATACGTTGGGGTTTGTGGTAAAGCTCCTACGTATTCTGCAACCTACTTAAGCCTCATTTTGGCTTAATGGCTGATCAACTAATCTAAGAACCCTATTTGCCGCCGTGGAGTAAAGCCTTTCTAAAAGGCCGAACCACGTTAAATCCTGTGTCGTTTATGATTATGTTCATTGATTCGAGATAGATTATCATGGTATCAGAGCCTCGCGAAGTTCTTCGTGTTTCACCTTGGTGATTTGAGGTTTCTTCGAGATTTATTGGGATCAAGCTTCCGCCTGTCGTGTTCTTCTTCGAGTATTGCTTCACTGGTTTTTCGGATTACGGAAATTGCTTTGTGACTGCTGCGGTTCTATTTTTGGCTTCTTCTTGGCTGTGGGATTTTCGAAAATTGATTTGTGACTGCTGCGGTTCTATTTTTTGCGTCTTCTTGGCGGTGGGCTTTTCGGGACTTGCTTTGCGGTGGCGGTTCAATTTTTGGCTTCTTTCTTTTGTGCCTCTTTTTCTCGGTGGCCACTTCTTGGTTGGTTGCTACTGCGAACGTCTTCTTGATTTGCAGTTGTTTCTTCTCGTCTGCGTCTTCTAGGCGGGTTGCTTCTTCTTGGCAGCGACCTCTTGGCTGGATTTTCTTTTATCTGAGACGCACAGCATATCTGGTATTCCTATTTTCCTTTCTTTCTTTGCTCTTGCTGCTTCCTGGTTAATTTTGTCTCGTGCGCAATGGATTCCATGAAGGAGGTTGTCTCCGCTCGGATCAATGGCAAAAACTATCTCCTATGGGAATTTCAATTCCGTGTTTTTATCGAGGGAAAGCGTCTGTTTTCTTATTTGGATGGTTCACTTCCTATGTCGGCTGAGATCGCCACGGCCAAAGAGAAGATCGACTGGGCGGCAAATAACGCTCAGGTTACTTCGTGTTTGCTTGGGACTGTGGATCCTAGCATTGCCTTGAGTTTGCGTTCGTTCTCTGCTGCCCACGAGATGTGGCATCATCTATGTTATCTCTACTCACAGACTAGTGCATCTAGGCAATTTGAAGTCTCCACTGCTATTGCGAATCTGTCTCAAGGTGACTATGATGTGCGTGACTATTATCAATCTGCTCTTCATCTTTGGACGGAAGAGGACATGTTGTCTCTTGCTGTCAATAAGGGACAGGTTACTCCAGCTATGCTTTAGGAACGCAAGCGGCTCTGGCTTTTGCAGGTTTTAGCCAAACTTCGTCCTGAATTTGAACTCGTCTGTGCTTTGTTGCTTCACCGCAACATATCTACTATTGATGACGTTGTTGTAGAGCTCATTCGTGAAGAGACACGACTGCGCAGTCAGGCTCAGGTAGATCATGGTTCTTTTAGCTCGGAAACCGCTTTTGTTGTCGGACACCTTGGTAAGCCTCATTTTCAGTGTCCCGTTCCTCCTCATGTTGAGTGCCATTATTGTCAGGAGAAGGGACATTTTAATATTCACTGCCGGAAGAGAAATCATTATAACTACTGCAAGACGGATGTTCATATTGTGCTCGGTTGTCCAAGTCTAGCTCGGCGTGGGAAGTCTAGTGGGTCCCGTCCTTCTGCTCTGGTTCCTGCGTACAGCGTGCAGCTTGCTTCGACGCCGCAATCCGTGCCAACACCCTCCGCTGGTTTGCTAGGTGCTCCTCCTGCTCCTGCCACCTTGTCCTCTGAGACTCTTGAGCAACTGGTTCAGTCTGCCCTTCAGAAGGTTCTCACTTCGGCATTGCAATCTGTTTTCTCGGCTACTCCTCCGACAGGTACTCCGATTTCTTGGCATCTTGATTCAGCAGCTTATAATCACATGTCTAGTTTTCGTGCTCAGTTCTTAAACTTGAAACATGCTCCTTCTCTAGAGCTACAAGTGGCAAATGGTTCTCGTCTTCCTGTTCAGGGGATGGGCACTGTTCGACAGCCTAATCTTATGTTATTTGATACTCTATATGTTCCTGGCCTGGTTCCCAATCTTGATTTTGTTGGTCAGTTAGCCGAAACTAGATGTCGTGTTATATTTGATTTCGATGGCTGTCTGGTACAGGATCGGAGCACGGGGAGGACGCTGGGTAAAGGTTCGCAGTGTGGGCGCACTTACACCTTAGATGGTTTGGAGTCTTTGGAGACATGTTCGCCTTTGGGGAGTGGAGACATGGTGGTTGGCGCGTCCTCTGCTACCAAGAATCTCTCGAGTTTTGCTAGTGATTTGCATTCTTTTTCTGTTTCCTTGGATGATTTGAATTTGTGGCACTGTAGTTTGGGCCACCCTCATAGTCATACTGTACGCTTAAAAACCATGTTTCGGAATAAGCTTTTGCCTGGGGTTTCGGGTTCGCAGTCTACTTATGATACTCCCTGTGTTAGTTGTATTCAGGCAAAAACAACTCAGATTTCTTTTAGATCTAGTGATACGCAGTATGCTGATGCTTTTGATTTGGTTCACGCCGACTTATGGGGTCCTCCTCCTACTACTTCTCGCATGGGTTATCTCTACTTTGCATTATTTATAGACCATGCTACTCGATATTGCTGGATTTATTTCCTGCGTAAGAAATCTAAGCTCTGTGGGATAGCTCTCGAGTTTACCAGATGGTCCATACTCAGTTTGGGAAGACGATTAAGATTGTTCGTTCCGATCCCGGTGGTGAGTTCAACTCGAATCCCTTACTTGCTTTCTATCGGCAGCATGGAATTATCTCTCAACTCTCGCGCACAGGTGTTTTCTAGCAGAATGGATTGGTGGAGAGGAAGCATCGTCACGTCCTTGATCTTACTCGGGCTCTTCTTATCCACTCACATGTTCCAGTTGGCTTTTGGGTGGAGGCAGTTCACATTGTCGTTTATTTAATCAACCGCCAGGTTACCCCTGTTCTAAACCAACAGTCGCCTTATTTCATGCTTTTTGGTAAACACCCTGACTACAGAAGGTTATGTGTGTTTGGTTGCCGTTGTTTTGTCTTAATGACGGCTAAAGAACGTCACAAATTAGACCCAAAGGTTGCTACTTGTGTCTTTATTTGGTACACCGATCGTCAAAAAGGCTACATGTGTTACGATGTGGATTCTCGTCGAGTTCGTATATCTCCTCATGTAGTATTCATGGAACATATTTTCCACTGCAAGATGAACTCTAAAGATCCTCCTGACCTGTCCTTCCTCGATTCTCTACCGCTGGCCACTCTCTTGGAAATGACTACTCCGACTTCGCCTGCTCCGTCTCCTGTACTGCCTGAACCAGGTTTCCCCTCCACTTCTGGGTCATCGTCCCAGTCACACGAGCCAGCTACGCCGCCCACTACGAGCTCGTCCTCC